GAAGCTTCTGGTCCTAGGAGCCACTTGGGGGGTGTGATGGACTGGGGGGAAGGGGTGTGTGAGAGAGGTGGTGAGGTTGGGGGAGCACTCCGGGTAGGAGAGGCCTCCAGAGCCAGGCTTAGAGCCCCCTACTCCCCTAGAGTAGCCTGTGCAGGGGATGCTGGCCTGAGAAGAAATGGCTCAGCTCAGTTCAGATCCTCACTTCAGGGCTTCCCAAGATGGGGCAGGGAGCAGGACAGCAAGGGCTGGCACTGTTCAGAACCACAAAGCAGCTGGTAGGATAGCTGCAGCCAGACTCATGTCCTGCTGCTGGGACAGAGCTGTGGCTGGGAGGAAGCTAGTGGGGGCAGGCAGGGGCTGCAGGTCAGGAGTGAGGGGACTGGGAAGGGGAAGGAGGGGGCTGTGGGTTGATTGTGAGGGGCAAAGGGCACTGGCATATCAGTGGTTCTTAGCGCCACACATCCTGGTGAGCGAAGGGAGTAGGAGCAGCTCTGATTTTTTCTGTGACAAAAATCCCAAAAGTAAATGCCAAAGTGTATAGATATTTAGAATCCATTTTATTATGATGATAGAGGCACTGGTAAGCTTCCAAATTGCTTTAAATTTACAAATATATCAACAAAACATTGTCCAACTGATCTCTCTATATATAGTAGCATTTCATTTTCATAGCAAAAGAACACTATTTTGGGTATTTTTATGACAGATTTCGGGTTTCTTTTTGCAATTCTTTTTCCAAATTTTGCAATTTTTAAACAGGGAACACCTGTGAGACACGTGGCGAGACCCGGGCAGAGGAGCCTGTCCAGAGCCAGCCCTGGGTACCCAGCTGGAGGCCAAATGAAGTCTCTGACGTCTTGGCTGTTTGGGGCCAAGAGGACATGCTTTGACAATTCAAAGCAGGCCACCACAAGAAGCACATCTTCTGGGTGATAGCTGCCCAGATGGCAGAGTGAGGGCACCCCATCCAGGTCTGGCAAGCACGTAGCCATGGGGCCACAGGTCCAAGAGACTGGATGCTTTTGTAGATGGCAGCAGGTAACTGACAGGCAGCAGACCCCACTGTCAGACTGCTGCAGTGAGTAGAGGGGGCAGGGGCCGCTCTAGGTTACGGCTGCTTCAAGGGGCAGTTGGCACAAAGAGTAGTGTCCCCAGATACCAAGTGGCTGGGCTTCAGAAGCTCCTGAGGGCAAGTAGCCCTGAACTGCTCGCCAAGGCAGGTTATTATATTGCTGGGGCCAGCACAAGTGCTGGCCCCAGCCTTTAACTCCTCCTGGCTGAAGATCCAGGAGGACTGGGCAGAGTCAGTTTGCTCCAAGTAGCACAACTTGCCCCATACCAAAGTGCATGTCCGGGCATGTGCTCTGAGGCAAACATTCCCGGCACAAATTTGTGCCGCTCCTATTTGAGCTGATACAAGTGCACATACCCGGACACATACTTTGGTGTGAAGCAAGTTTTGCCACTTGGGGCCAGCTCCACCCCCCATGCCCACCCCCCCACCACACAGCTCCCACACACAAACACAGTGCCCCACCCCACACACAATTCCCCCCACCTCCATTCCTACTTACCTGCAACAGTGCCAGGGTTTGTCACACTGGATCCTTGCCATGCATCTGCTTGTCCCAGCACGTTAAGGGTGCATGCCCTGTGTGCTGGTAGCAGAAGCACATAGAGATGCTCTGGCCAGAAACCAAAGCATCTCTCTGGAGGACTAGCTTCTGGGTTACCCCACTTTTGTCCCCTGTAGGGGTTTTTTTGATATCTGGATTTCCAGGTTTCAAATTCTGAGCAGCATGGTGAACATTTTTTCATTCACAGTGTGCCTCTTGCAGCCTCTCAAAGTGGTTTGGGATGCTGCAAGAGGCATGTGCATGCTTGTCTGGATGCATCCATAGTGTTTAATTCCTACCTCCGAGGATAGCAGCCTAACCACAAGGCTATAGACAAGGCTGGGATGGAAGCCACCTCTTTACCAACCCCTGCTAAGCCTGTACTACTCTGTACAAAAAAAAGGAGAAAATCATAGGAGAAGATGAAGCAAAAATCCATACCCCCACAGGTAAAGGTACCCTACTGGGAGAGATTCTGGATTCTGGTTCCTGCTTCCAGTTGTACCTCTGTCCAATTACTCTAATGCATAAGAAGTCCCTGGATCAAGGACCAAAACAGGACTCCCCTTCTAAAACATATGTCTTTTTGTTTATTCTCTCTCTACAACACTGATTCACAAATATTTACTGAAATAAAGACTAGAAGAGAGTTGTCTAAGTAACAGCTCTGGCTATTGTGCACAAAACTGGCAACCTAGCTGAGACTACATAAAGCTTAAACTATTCAAGACATAAAAAGCACAAATGTTGTGATTGGAGGCTTACATAAATATACTTTTATCTTACCTTTAAGGATCCTGTTCGCCTAGAATTACACAACCAGAACCAGAACCGAACTCTACACACTCCAAGACTGGCTGGGAAGAATCTAGTAGTAACTATCCTTGTTGTGTCCCCTGTCTTCTGAGAAGATGAGTTGACATACAAAAAATGTTGTCCATTACCTTAGAAATAATGAAAACATTTTTTCATTATTGTTTGACATTTTAGTGCATACACACACATACCTAAATATAACCCACAGATCTGATAATATAATAACATAAAAACTGCCATTTATTGCTAGCTCACAGTATGTTTTGTTTCACACAGTGACAAACAGTGGATGTGGATAGGAAGGGTGTACAAAATTTTCCACCTCTGCTCCTTTACCCTTTGTAGCTTCCAGCATTCAGAGATTTATGAAGTTCTGACTCAAAGGCCAATGTTAAATGTCTACCAATGTACATTTCCTCCATGAATTTGCTCAATCCCTTTTGAACTGGGTCTATCAGCCTCTGGTGGCAATGAGTTCTAGAAGTTAATGACACGCTGTGTGAAAAAAGAACTTTCTTTTGTTAGTTTTAAACCTACTACCAAATAGTTTCATTTGATGTCCCCTACTTCTAGTATTTTGAGATGTTAAAAAAATAAATTCCAATTTACTTTCTCTGCACCATTTACTATTCTAATAAATCTTTATCATATCACGACCCAACAACACAAACATCTCTTTTCTAATCTGAAAAGTCCTAGCCTATTTAGTTTCACATTAGATGGAAGCCTCTCCATAACGCTGATCGTTACACTTTACATGCTTGTACTTTCAACTTTTTATGCACATTTTTCTCTGTCACTCCTTATATTTCATCTTTCCAAGTAGTCTCTCTCAGTACTGTAATGATCAGAGATTTTTTTTACTATACTATAGTTTGTAAAAAAAAAAAACAACCCAGTATACGAAAAATTCTCAGTAATTACAATAATTAATATTTAGAGATGAGCTTTGGTTTTGCTAAAGCAGTAGCTTTTCTTGCTTTGAAGTTGTTCAAAAAATGAATCAATAAAGATTCAAAAAATATTTCCTAAAATCATTATTTTGTCATGTGTAGTTATTTTTATGGCATTCATAAACAGAATAAAGTTAAGCTGTGCCCCTGAGTAAATGATAAACTCCTTAGTTATTTTTTCTATTACTGCAAAATGTGGTGAGGTTTATTAAGAATCCTCCTTTATCTTTGGAATCAATGTTTCTTATCTTTTAACTAAATATCTCCTACTGCAGAAGAATCATACCTACTTCTCATCTATTCCTCCCCTTTCCACAGTTCTCTGTTCTTTATTTTCCAAGGATTCCCAAATGAAATTTTCCACTCAACCCATCCGACTGTAACAGGATCCCCTTGTTTGGGTGATTCTACCTTAATGTTATGAGTTCACAAATTAAGTTACGTGTTAGAATACCAGTTAGATGTAGTCAGGGCATTTATTACTTTACAGTATCAGTAGGGTGTGGAAGCAAAAGACTTAGGGAATCATAGAATGTGTGTTGTAGGTAGTGGGAACATGACAAAGAACACAAGAAAATTTCCTATGCTAAAACGGTTAATAAAGAAAAGGTAGAAGTGCTCAGTAAACACTTTGTTCAAGGTTTAAACATATTACTTTCCAAACTATTCGCAATATCTTTCTGAGATTACAAGGTTGATGGATAATGGTCACTTCATTGATACTTTATGTTTAGAATGATAAAAAGTATTTGAATTTTGTACTGAACAACACTCTAATTTAAAAAAAAATTGGACTATAATAGCACCCATCTTGACTGGGTTAGGAACTGACCAACAAACAGTTTAGAAAAGGTAAACGTCCATAGGAAACTATTAGCTAAGTAATGTGTTTGTAGTGGAGTTCCAGGAAACAGGAGCGGGGCTAATACTGTTCAACATTTTCATCAATCATTTGGAATTACATATAAAATCGCTGCTGGTAAGATTTGAGAATAACATTGGGGCTGGTGAAGTGGTAAATAATGAAGAAGAGATGGTTCTGGATCACTTGGTAAATTAGATCCATAAAAAATTTGTTTTAATATCTTCAAATTCAAAGAGAATAATTTTCAGAGTTCTTCAAACCATGAAATACATCTGAACTACTTTTTTAAAACCACAAATACTTACAAGACAATTCAGACTCACAAGAGCGCTGTGCTGAAACATCTTTTGGGCTCATCTAAACCTGTCTGGAGGTATTTGATTAGTAAATCTAAATTGACAGGTTCCTTGTTGGTTGAAGAACATTTTATGGCTCTTGCAGGGGGTTTCTAATTTGGGTGGATTAGAAGATACGCATGTCCAAATTCCAGTGTCATGTGTTCCAGGATTTGGACTGTCCCAAACACCACAGTCCATCAGTGTAAAATATTCAAGTGTGAAGTATCAAGATAAGCATACATCTGAGACAGCTGGCCAAGGAGGTACATGGAGTTCAGGTTCTTCCCTCCCTCTTTCCCCTCCTCCTGCCCCCGCCTCAGCTCCCAGGCCCAGAAAAGAAGAAGTGATCATGTTATCTTGTAGCATAGGAAGGAGAGGCCTAGAAGAAGAATCAGAGGATCAGGAGGGAAAATTCCCTCAAGGCCAGAGCATAATCTTCCAAAAAAATGTCCTAATTTCTGAAACTTCTCTTACCCCTTTAGTGTCACATGCCTATTATATTCTGCTCCTGCCCATCTCTCTTTCACTCACACCTGTGCTAAACCATCCAAGATAGCCTGTTGACACAAACTCCCAGCCAAATCCCCTGTCCAGATATAGTCATAGATTCATAGATTGTAAGCAGCTGGAATGGACCTTGCAAAATCATCGGGTTCAGCCCCCCTGCACTAGGCAGGAAAGACAACTGGGGTCAGGCGATCCCAGCAAGGTGACTGTCCAGTTTCCTCTTGAAGATTTCCAGGGTAGGTGATTGCAGCACCTCTGGAGAGAGCTTATCCATAGTCTGGACACTCTAACTGTGAAGAAGTTTTTCCTAGTGTTAAGCCTGAAATGGTCTTCCAGGACTTTGTGGCCATTACTCCTGGTTTTCCCCAAGGGTGCCCTGGTGAACAGTTGTTTGCCAAGACCTTGATTCATTCCCCTGATTTAGTGGTAAGCTGCTACCAAGTCCACTCTCAGCCTTTTGTTTTTTAGATATAAAAAGGCCATCCTGCAGCTTCATGACTACAGCCAGATGGGTAACAACTTTCTTGTCTCACAAAAAAAAAAAAATCAGCTTTATAAAAATTCCACATCACTACCATAACATCTTTCAAAGCTTTTTCAATTAAAAAACTAGAAAGACAGATACCCCCAGAATAGCCAATAGCATTGTGATTATAATACATCGTGGTTATAATAATCACCTAGGTACAGAAGACCAACGTTCAAGTCACTGTTCTGGCTCTTTTAGGCTAAGGACTGGAACCCGAGTCTGTCATGCTCACAATGAATGTGTTCACTAACAAAAATTGTGGCTTGGGCAATATATTTGAAAAGATTTAAAATTCTGCTCTTTTTCCATCATAGGATAAAAGGGGTAGGACTGTACTAGAGCTCTAATAGATCATTTGAATACACCTTATGTGAGTTCATTGTTCAGGCATTCAGTGAAGCAACTCATTTGCTCTGAGGACTTTGGCAGACAGATTGTCCAATTAATGATTTATTTTGGCATGTTTTTGGGGAATAGAAAAAACTAATAGGGCAATTCTGTCAGCAGTGTAGTGAACAAAAAACTTTTAAGGACAGAATGAACCAAAGCTGCTTGCTCGTAGCTTCATTACTTCTAGAGTAAGGCTTACTTGGACTGGGGTCATAACATCAAAAGTGATTTCCCTGTTGAAGTTAGTTGCATTTATTTTTACCTAAAATTGTGCGCAGTTTTAGTTCTTTCACTCATAAAGTGAAGCGATCTAATGGTTTTCAAAACTGTTATACACAATGCCACTCTGATAGACCTACAAATGATTACCTAGGTGGAGTGAGACTTATTCACAGTTTGGCCCTCAATCCCATGTAATTTCTGTCTGTCACTCATATTGAATCAGGATGGTTTGCAAATTGTAATGGCTGCCAGGGAAATGCTCTCATTCTCTCTAACTCTCTCTGCAGTTACATTTTTCCAGATGGCGTACGTGGGTCAGATTAGCACAGTACATTTCTTAGTCCTCATTACTTTTAATAAATACAAGAGGTAAACATTTTCAAGCAACAACCTCCCCCACTTATTTTGAAGATATTGTATTGATATAGATACTGTAAATTCTAAATAAAAAAGGACTGTTACTATATATTTAGATAGTGCCCAGAAAAATGCTGATCTAACCAGCTTGGCTTCTTAGAACTAGGTCTAAATAATAATAATTTTGCTTTGGTTTTCAACTAAAGTTTTTGATGCAGGACCCCTTCACATTAGGTGTCATGCATAGTAAAAAGACCCTGAAGAACCCAGGTGAGATTCTGAGATGTTAAAACAGATAGATGAAAAAGACCACTTAGGGGAAAGGACAAGATAATAGTGAAATAGGCAAGTGCAACAAGCAGCATTCTTAGTTCACCAGTTCCCTATCACATATGCATGACTATGTGAATTGCATGCTGTGAAATATCAATATTTACCAAAAAAAAATTAAAGAGTTATGTATACTAAGTGGGTGCATCTACACATGCACTTTACTGTGGAGTTGACTAATTAGCTCTGCAGTAAAGTGTCATTATCCACATGAGCAATGGCATTAGAGTGCAGTAAATTAATTAACTCAGTCATAAAACAGTACTGTCAGGAATGGTATTATATTACAGTGGAGTTATTAACTGTGGTGAAACGTATATGTAAATGCTGACCCAGGCAAAAATTGCGCCCTGTCAGCCCAGGCAGCCAGGCGTCAGAGCCCTGCCTATTACCTAGCCACACTGCTCTGCACTTTGGGAACTGTCATGCTCAGCCAGCCCCTCTGCTGTCCAGTGCTGCCACTTGGACCCTGAGGTTGACCCTCTGAGCCTGCTACCCTGGCTCAAAGTGCTGCTGTCCCAGGTACATGTGTAGACACTGTGCTCAGGAGCAGTCAACTCCAGTCAACTACTGTGCTGTAGTTTATTCTGCCGCATTAATTTCATGTGTAGATGCACCCAGGATATACAAAATACTGTTGAGCTCAGTGACTGCTTCTAATGCAGGCCACTCTAACTGAGAGCAGAAGCTGGTTTAATACAGCAAGTGCAGTGGAAACAACAGAACTGCTGCACTCAATCAGCAAATGTATCAAGGCTACCAATAGAATAATCTAACAGTTAAGGAGTTGAGATTGTCACTGATTGCTAGTGTCTCCTCCTGCATCAAGTTCTTCATTTTTAAATGAAGCTTGGAGTTTTAAGTGTCTAGCTTGACAAATGCAGGTGTAATTAATTACTTATTTTTCAGAGGCTTACACATGTATTGTAAGTTTATTTAATAAGTTGGACTTACTTATAAAGAGGTTTGTTTCTCCCAAAAGAACATGATTAATTAGTATACTTACATTTTATTTTGCAGCTCATTGTCTAAGAAATGACTAAACAAATTCATCAATCTGTGACAGAGTATCAAGAATGATATAATCAGGGCTACTTTGAAAAGAGCAATCTATAAAATTACCCTGTTGATGACTCAAGCAATGCTTATAAAGGCTGGTAAGAGACTAGCCTCTTAAGCTGTTTATTTTTATTTGTATTCAGATAGCATGGGTGGTTACTATGACTGTATACCTGACAAGATTCAATTTATTCTTCTGGTTCATTTTTGCACCGACTTTTTCAGGTGTCTATTCCATGCTGTACCTTTAACATTTGAAAGGAACATTTTCCAATTACCTTGAAAAAGAAACTTTCACATTTGATCACTAAATTCTTGATCTTACGTTTGCAATCTGGATCTGCTGTTAACTTTTAGACTACTTCTGCAGGATATTTTGTTTCTTCACTAGATTTTTTGATAATTTTTGGAACCAACAGTGAGAATGTTCTATTACTTTCCAAAGCTTATATGAGGAACAATATATCACCTGGTGTATGGTCAGCCCCAGGGCCATTTTGCTTGGTGACACTGCTATTGCCAATACTCCAATCAAAAGCATCTCCAGCATCTTGTGTGAAACCACACATAACAGTCCATTCTTGGCCTTGTGTTTCAAAGTTACAGCTTCCAGGAATACTTGTATAGTGACCTGAAAATGTGATAAAAAGTAAACTGTCTTAGGTTTCTATACAGATCACATTAATTCACACATTTAAAAGACATTAAGTATTATGCCACACATTGCAATAGCAAGGATTTTGTTTAACTGATACTACATTTATGTATGTTAAGCTGCAAAGAGGTTTTCTACATGTTGGTATACATATAGCAGCTTTTATTATATCAATATAACTTTACAAGTATTGATAAAATGTTTCCACATGGAACAAAATTGTCTTTATTAGAAAACTGTAACACTAGCATGCTATCGACCAATTCAAAGGAAGAAGGGGAAGCATAGAGAGACCCAAATTAAAATCCCACGGTTTAACCAACTGAAATCAAAGGCATTTTGGAAGAGGTAGAAACCTGGCCATGTTATTAAAGATGAGTGTTAGGTTATATCAAGAACATGTAGGAAAAAATTGGAAATACCAAGGCATAAACTGAGATACAGCTAACCAGTGGCAAAAAGGTGGAAAAAAGCATTTAATAAATGTGTTAGAAGAAAGGAACACACAGGTCTCTAAGTGAACGGGAAGGTAAAACCTGAACCATTTGTGTACAATATGGAAAAAAAAAAAAAAGTTGAACCAAAATAATACCCTTACCCAGCATTTCAGATTTTTTCTTTAGTGGGAAAGTGATCTATATTTGAAGTACTGTGAGATGAAATGATTCTGAACACAAATTACCTTCAACTCAGTATTGTTTCTAAAGCACACAACTGTCCTCACACCTTCCAAAAAAATATAGTGATGAAGCCACTAAACTAAAACCCAGAAGGTCTGGGCTCAGTTTCTAGATTTATCACTGGTTCACTGTGCACTTCTGGACCAAAATAATTAATTGTATGCGTCTTTAACTTTATCATGATTAGATTGGCATGGATGTAAAACTAAAACTTTTGCTTTGCTGTACTTGTGCTCCTTTTGGATGTTATCCTAAGCTGCAAATGACTGCCTGATCTTCAACTACAATGTCCCAGTTCGAATTTTGGAGAATTTGGACAAACTGAATAAAAACAATATAGGCCCAGATAAGGCAGTTCAGACAGGGCACTAGACTTCTCCGAAGTCAGGATCCAGAGAGTTGATCTAATCTGTTAAAGATCACAATAAGTCTAGAACTACCTATCTGTATGCAAAATTTAAGACTGTTTGAATGTGGGGATTTGGTTTGGGACCAGCTCCATGTCTAGTTGTTGGCAGCAGTGTTAAAACAGTTACTTACTGGATATTTGTTTTAAAGGATACCTTGAAAAAGTACAAGCCACTTCAGAAGTATATTCAATAAATTCATTTAACATGCTGATCCTACCTTTCCATTTTAGGACTAGGAACTAATCTATATGAACTAACCTATGAACTAACCTACTTGAGAAAAAACAATTTAAAAAGATGGCTTCATTTTGATATGCTTCTCAGTCAATGATTTAATCTGATGGTCCAAAAAAGTTTGTTTTCAAAAAGCCTCATCGCTACTGCAATTGCATCTTATCAAATAAGAAACTGATGGGGGTTTCTTTAGTATGATGTAGATATGCAAAAACCATCAGCTGCTATCTTTGCTGTTTGCAGGCTTTTTCTTTAAAGATCAGTCCTTTCACTATAAAGTGAATAACACACTTTTAAACTCTGAAAAGAGGACCATATAGATTTAAAAAGAGGTTTTAACATAAGTTTTAAACTCTGAAAAGAGGACCATATGTTTTGTGTTGTCTATATAATGGCCTCTGGAAAGGGGTACATTAAACAGAAACACCCGGTGTTCTACCATATACTACATGGTGCAACTAGGACAAGTGGAGCTACAAGGACCAGCTTTAAACAAGGAAGCCAAGCAGTCAGGGAAAAGAATGAGATTGTCTGATCTCAAGAGAAAGAACAATTGTCTTGTACAATTCTAAAGAGATCAAAAACCAAATGAATTTAGAAGTTATAATGCTATTCATAATACATTGCCTAACTTCTGGTATTCAACTCTAATATCTTACCAGTGCATTCAGAATTCAGTTAATAATAAATATTTATGAACAGCTTTTGTAGACTTGATGAATTCACCTACATGTCTGCACCTCCTGGATATTTTTTCTTTTTGATATAAACAGAGTCTATTTAGAGGTTATAAGAAGAGGGCTATTTCATTTGTCTGAAAATTTGCTTTTATTTAAATAATTCAAGCATTCCACTACATGGTTCATCAACACTGAGAACTACTATTAATCAGATCAGTGTGTATAATTGAATATGGTTCACAAAAATTGAAACTGCTTTCATGTGTTTTTTTTCACGTCAGTACTTCAAATGGGTCTTGAAAGGGAATGACAACTGTGCAAGATTGCCTGATTGGATAGAAGGAGCAATACAATAGCTGAAAATTTACTTAAAAAAAATAATCAGGCTTTTCTGGGTTTTACATGGACATCACATTGCCTGCCAAATCTGCTGTAAAACCAGAGAAGTGTCTCAGTGGAACTACTCTAGAGTGCACAAGAGTAGAATTTAGCCCACTGAGTTACCTTGATAAAGCTAGTATAATAGAATGGAAAAGGAGCTAAACCTTAACCATTTAATTGAGGGGAAAAATAAGAGAAATTGCAGATAAAATTTATATTACCAAAAGAGAATTTGTATTAGGTTTGCCTAGGAGGCACATGTTTATTAGGCCAGTGTGGAGCAGCAAGTATTCGATTCAACTTCAGATTTGGCTGATTTGAGGGACAGTGATTTGATTTGGTGATTCGGATCACTGTCCCAATTTGATTTGGATTCAGAGATTGAACTGCTAAATTGGGCGTGGCAGCAGTGAGTGGGACCCCACCCCCTGCCTCCTCCTCCCCCATCTCTCCCACATGGCTGCCTCGCTCAGCCCCAGCGTCCCATCACTTAAAAAAAAAGAAAAAAAGCCCTGCACTCACCAGCTGCAGCAGTGGTGATCAAGGCCTCTGGGGGCTTGTGGCAGAGCCCCCTGCACAGCATGGTGCAGCAAGGATTGCCGGCCCCCCCCCCACCTGGCAACTATCACATCATGCGGGTACAGCATGGCTCAGCAGGGCACCGCATGCTGTCCCAGAGCTGGGGCATCTCCAGCAGTCACCCAGAGCCTGGCAGTGCTCAGCCTGAGTGGCCCCAGCTCCTGGAACATACATGGAGCCCCATGGTGCCCTGCTGAGCCATGCTGCACCCGCCTGATGTGACAGCTGCCATGCAGGTGCCAAGCAGAGGGAGGGCTCTGTCATGAACCCCCAGAGGCCCTGATGGCTGCTTCTGCAGCCAGCGACTGTGAGGTTTTTTTGTTTTGTTTTTTTTAAGTGCCAGGATGCTGGGGCCAGGCGGGGCAGCCATGGGGAGGGGCCTAGGGGAGCAGGGGTGGGGTGGCACTCAGGGGGCTGGGGGAGCCAGCAGGAGATGGGGATGGGCAGGGATCCCCCATGGTCCCCTCCTACCTCCTCCAGCCCCTCTGCCCCCTACTTACTGGCACACAGCCTGGGTCCAGCTCCCTGCGGCAGCAAGCAAGAACTGCCTGAATCTCTGAATTAATTCAGAGACTTCTGAATCAATTCAGAGGCTTCCAATTTGATTCAGACCTTTTAATGGGTCTCCCAATTAGATTTGGATTCAGAGATTTGGCCCCCAAATCAGGCCAAATCTCCTCCGTATCAAATCGGCTACTGAAGCTTCGTGCAGCCCTAGTGTTCACACAGTTTCTCCCAGAACAAAAATGGTGGTTTGGGGAGAAAAATAACCCATCTCTAACCTGGTAGAAGTAACTCTAGGGATGTCTCTTCCAGGAAAATGAAGAACTGTACACTTCCCCACCACTTGACTCCTCCTGAGGACCAGGAGGAATTGAATAGCAGGGATTGATCCCCCACATCTTCTGAGACTGGAGTCACCCCAGACCAGGGGAGGAAGCAGGTGCAGATGCTATGTGACCCCTCCTGAAGGCACAGAGCTCAGCTACTCTTGCCCTTTGCATGACCAGGAGGGAAAGGGAGGTTCAGCTGCTGTTTGCTGCCCATCTGCCACTCACATCAGGGACTCTAGTGTGAGGAGCAGGTGGGGGCTTTGCCATGTTGCTCCCCATGCTTTCCCCAGACCAGGAGCAGCCTGGTCTGAGGAAGGCATGAGAAGTAAGGGATGGAGTGAAGTTGCAGCCTCAATGTCTGTATTGCTTTCTCTCCTGGAAATATTTCTAGCAGTGGAAAAGTTACACTGCTAGAAATTAACATATGCTCATTGTTAGGGTGACAATATTTGGATCTTGGGGAGCACTGGATTTGCAGCTGGATAAAAGGCATGACCTGTGGCCTAGGGAAGCTGCTGACCACAAGGCAGAATGATAGCTAAGCCAGCAATTTGCTTATGTTAAGTAGCCATCTTAATTGTGTTAACCATTTTTCTGAAAAAGCAGCAAGTAAGTTTGTGTGAGTCTGTGTGCTGTCAATGAGGTGAAGCTTTAGGAACATGGAAGATGGTACAACCTGAGAAAGAAAAACACTGGAATGTGAAAAAACAACATGTAATTGGTAACAGAATCCTAGATGAACATATGCAAAAATGTGAATGGTGATCGGTGAAGAAGCTTCCAGGTTTTAGTCAATGTCTGCCCATTGACCGAAGAAGTAAGGTCAGTGTCTTAGACATGCGCTCATAGCAAAAAGACATGTGAAGGAGTAAAATGCATAGGCAATTCCATGTGAATGAAGCAAACAGTAAACAGAGGTGGAGCTTAAGATAGGAGAAGAAATAGGTGGAACAGAAGGAGGGACAGGGTAGAATAAATGTCAATGAGCATAAACCAAAGTGTATAAATGTGAAAAAAAAATATTGTTCAGTGCAGCTCCCCAGTTTGTTTGTTTTTTGGGAGCTAGTCTGAAGCTGTCTCCATTCTGCATAAAGCTGTTGTGAGCAATGTGTGCTGGTGTTTGCTCCCTGCCTGCTCTGGCTATGAGTAACAGG